TGGTGCATATTTCACAATTATCACATTAGGTATACACTATTATACTCCCTTAAAGCACTTGCTCTCATAAGCCTAGGCCAGGGGTAGGCAACCTTGGCTCTTTTATGACTCGTGGACTTCAACTCCCAGAATTCCTGAGCCAGCCATGCTGAGGGGAAAGGGAGAGGTTTCCAAGCTGAGCCATGCTGGCTCAGGAATTCTGGGAGTTGAAGTCCACGAGTCATAAAAGAGCCAAGGTTGCCTACCCCTGGCCTAGGCAAACATTACTAGGGTACACCCAGCTTTAAAAGTCTCTCTCTCTCTCTCTCTCTCTCTCTCTCTCTCTCTCTCTCTCTCTCTCTCTCTCTCTCTCTCTCTCTCTGTGTGTGTCTCTCTGTGTCTCTGTCTCAATTTCCACGATTCTTTTTCAATACCAGTTTCTGGACTAGGGCTAAAATGCTGCCAAAAGTGTATTGTTTGATCTAGGCTTTCAGAAGTTCGACAGCTGTAGTTCTGAATTCCTCTATTGTGTTAGCGGACTTTAAATCAAATTGCACTGGGATAATTTATGACCCTGTAAGAGCATGCTGACAGGTCTCTTTCAGTAGAAGAAAATGTAATTTAGAAGACAGCACCTACTGTCCCCACAGAAATATGCACTAGGATAACACTTCTGTAAACCCCGGACAGTCAACAATGCCCTTGCAGCAATATTTTGACTGGCTATGTTGGATTGACCCTAAGGTCAAGGTATGTGAAAGTAAATATAAATTATGGAATTATCCTCCCCTTCCCCATTATAAAGACTTTTTTTTAAAAAAAAAAAAACAACAACTCTGGAAACTTTGGATGAGTTGTACAGCCATATCTTAATAGTCTGTTGTGAAAGGCAAAGAACAGGCATGATAAATCAGAAGTCACCTTACCACACGGATATGTGCAACAAATGAAGATAAAGAAAAATACATCTTGCAAGGTCTGAGAACAGGAGAAAGGCAGCAAAAAGAAGCACCAATGGTGATCATACTGCATTATCAGGACCAGCAAACCTTATCTAAATCAGGCTAGCATTTATTTATTAAATATATTTTGTATGCCAATACAATCAAAAACAAATCTTTGTGGCTTACGTAGAAAAATACCATATTAAAAAAAAACTTCATATAAAATTAAAACTGCAACGACGCAACAAGAATAGAAAGAGAATAAAGGGCAACAAAAAAATATCAAGCGAAAGGGTCTTTAGAAGCTTGAGAAAAGTCTACCAAGAAGAAGTCAGCCTGATTTCCACAAAGAGGCTCTTCAACACTATTGGAAAAGCAGTACCTCTAGTCTCAACCCCCAAATGTTATGAGAGAGGGCAATTGGGGCAGTTTCTACCTTCTAGATCTAATTGGTCAAGATAAAGTTGGCTGGAGAAAGCAGTCCTGAAGGTATCTGGATGCCAAGCTATGAAGTCATCTATAAGCCAAAACCAGTATCTTAAATTGGACCCAAAATTAATTGGCAGCCAATGCAGGTTTCGCAAAATCAGTGCTAGATGTTCTCAATGTCTGGAATCTGAAAGTATGTAAGCTCCTGCAGTTTCCAAATATTCTTTAAGGGAAACCCCAAATAGAGAACATTATAGTAGTCTAGGCATCGGGAATAAGAGCATGAATTGCTGCTGTTAAGCCCTCCTGCCCTAAGTGAGGCTTCAATAGTACATCAACTGAAGTTGATGCAACAGAAGCTGTGAGTCCAGCAGTATTCCAAGTTATGAACCAGTTCTCAATAGTACTTGCCTATGAAGGAGTAACTCTAGCAGGAAAAGGGGTCCTTGAGGTATCAACAACAACTCTAACTTGCTATTGTTCAACTTTAATCTGTTTTCTCCCATCCAGACCCCGGGAAAGGGAACTGACAGAATCTCCTCCCACTCACACCTTTATATAGAAATTAAGAAGCAGAGACCAACCCTGTAAAACTCACAAGGCAGGAGTGAAATTACTGAAAGATGTCTCCAGCCCCCAATGCTTGCAGGCAGTCCAAAAGGATACCAGTGACATCCCAAAACTGGGCCTGAATCCTGACTAAAAAGGGTCCTAATAATCAACTTCCTCTAGGGTGCTAAAAAGTTGATCCACAACCACTATCTCAACAACTTTCCCCCAAAATATACTTGTCTAACACTATTAGATCTAGGGACGGCTTCTTCAGAAGGAGGAACTGAGAATTCCCAAGGCCCAAGTGGTAACCATCGCCATCCCTGTATAAGCTGGGAGACACGTGGCATAGGGCAACTGAAACAGCACCTTATCCACTTCCTTGGAAGTCAAAGACAGAAGGGGTCCCAAAATAACAGAGCAATGCCTCAGTCACCATCAAAGATTCTGTCCACATGGAGGCAAGGCTACAGTGGAGCTGAGTGACGGTCAGTAAAAAAATGCACAAACTGGTCATATCAGCTGGAGGGAACTTATTCTATCTCGGATGGGAATTCATTACCGTGTAGGGCCACTTGATAGCAGCCATCCAATGCAGTAAGGATGAGAAATAAACATGTTCGGCTTCCTTTATCACTTATTCAGATATAGACCTGAACATGGGCATGTACCTGTGTTCAGTCAGGTTCACTTCAAAGCTTCCTCTCCCAGGGCTCCAGATATCCTTCCTGGCCAGTTCAGTAATATTACTGCAAAACTCTAGAATTCACATATGTACTTGCACACCTGTCCACACACATTCTGCATACAAATGCAGCCGGCTACAACTAGGAGCAAAACTTGATCAACTATAGACATAATTATCAGAGATGGGAACCATAATATAGTTCACATATTGGGATTAAGAACAAACTATATCTATTGATAACAGAGTTGAGTGAATTGGACCTTATTGGGGCCAATAGAGCATTCTGCAATGCTATGATTGTTTCCCACAAACCATTAGGACATTTTGGCAATAAAAAAATGAGGTAATTTCAGGCTAACTCATTTCAAAGCAAACTTTACATTGGTAAAAGTGTATGCTTCAATCCCTGAAGCTTGGTTTCTCAACAAATCCAGCCTATCAGCTATATTTTGGACTCTATCAGCATCTTCTTTCTTTCTTCCTCATGTTCTCCAGAACTTTGTCACTTCCATTACTGGTTCTTCATGAGAACACATTTCTAAATAACTGAATGGATGTCAACAGAACACAATACACATGTGGAAAGACAGTCGGCAAATAAAGTAAATAAATTAATAGGCATCTAAAGGTGAGCTTGGAATATCCTACTAAGTAAACTTAATTCTGTTTTTCAGAAATTCAACCTAATTCCCAGGCGCATAACTATGATGAAAGATTTGGAAGCCAAGCGTTGTGGGAGTACTTAATTATTCTCCTCCTCAAATTACAATCTTATTCCAGTTTCCTACCCATAATAAACCTCATCTTTCCTTATCTTGCAAACCAGAAATGGGAAAGGATGGGGCAAAGATGCAAATGATGTAGGGCTATTTAATGCAAATAAGCAGGGCCAAAATTATCTAATTTTCCCCAGATATTGGAAGGAAGCCATCTTTTGTCTCCACTTTTAAAGCTGTATTCAATCAATTTGAAGTTTACAGTAAAGGTTTGTATGTTTTCATCTCATAACAGCAGGAAATATTATTACTCATTTTCAGTCAAAGAATGCTACAGGTTTCTCACTATTAAATTAACTAATATTTAGAGATAGTAACCCTGAGTAAAAAGGAGGCCTTTTTGCTGTGGCCCCCACCCTTTCCAATATCATGCTGCTGGAGGTGAGATCTACCGCCACTCTCTTGGCCTTTCAAAAGAGCATCAAAGCCTGTCTCTTGTCAATTGGCTTTAGGCCCCGATGGGATGTTCCATGCTGGAGATGGCTAGTGCACTAAGAAGAGCCCTCCTCCATTCCGTTTGTGTACTGGTTCCGGGTTTTACCCAGTCCCTGTTTATTTTAACGTTTGCAATATTTTTAATGTTTTAATGTTTCTATATTCTCTCTTTTACTCTCTTACAAGCTGCCCAGGGACACTCGCTAATGAGATGGGCAGCATATAAAGTTAATAAATAAATAAAGGGGTAAAGAGAAAAGAGCAATGCTCTTTCTTAAAGGTGTTCTTAAACAGAACGACAAGGTTTAAAGAGGAGCTGGATTCAAATAGCCCTGGTCATATGGAAAACTATTTGCCTTTTGGGGTGGGTGTCCACACTATAATATAACAACTAATGAAGTCAACTGACATAACTTGATTCCCAGAATTTTTTTTCCCAAAAAATCTAAGTAAAAGACTAAATATATACATGTTGCTTTGATTATTCCTTGCTAGGAAAAACAAGCATCTAAAGGCTGCAGTGAGTCTTTTCTCAGCCAGCAACTGGCAATAATTACCAGCAGAAAACAAACCAGCTGTGTGGAAAGACCTTTTTTGGGGGGTTGCTAGCAGGCAAGAAACAAGATATGCAGCATCTGAGCATGTGCAGTGATATCACTATGGAAGCCATCCTGCAGTAGCATCGGGATATAGGCCTGTAAAGGAGGGGCTTGTGCAATGACATTACTACAGGCTGGGACCATAACTTGTCCTAATTTGCTATGGATTTGCTGCTGGGGAGGATTTAGTTCATTCTTCTACAATCTGAGCATGTGACAATGTGAATCCTCTGCTACAGCTGAAGTTGAGGAAGTTGGCTTAACTTATTCTATAAGCAATCCAATATTAGCTTTGGACAGAGGGAACAATATTCCTCATTTCTGCTAACCACTGAAAGGTCACTAAAAGTGACATAACATCATGGCATTCAGTTAATGAGTTGTTCTCGTTTCCTAATTTAGTTTTGGCACGTTACGATCCTGGTTAGGAGCACGTGTGTTTGAAAGTAAATCCTACTACATTCAGTGGGGCTTGTTCTCAACTGATACAACTGACACAACGTCTAACACTCTAGACTCACTCTCTGCCTCCTCAATTTCCACCCCATTACAGCCACCCAACGAATCACTGCTGCTTTTAAAAGCAAGTAATACTTACCTAGCCCTAAATAAGTGAGACGTTCAAAGAGGGTCCAGCTATGATCATCAACGTAATGATTCTTTAGTATTAGCAGCTGGCACAAATCTCGGGCTGTTATATCACTTGGTATTTCAAATGCTCTGCTGGTTTCATCCTCACTATATACTTTAATCACCTATTAAAAAGAAAAAAGACATCAATGTGGCATTAATATGTAATACTATTTTGTTACAATTATTATGTTACTTGGTTTACGCTGATTTGCCACCAAAAGAAAAACAAGCAAAATAATAGTATTTATTAATTTTATATTCCAATATTCCTTTAAAACAAGGGTGTTAAACTGGCAGGCCACGGGCCGGATGCCTCACGCGTAAGCCACGCCAACTCCGGCTCCACAAAGGCAAAAAACATTGCGATACATCACAATACATCACCTGACACTATTTGAGTTTCACACCCGTGCTTTTTAAAAGCTCAAGACAGCCTACATAAGGCACCCTTTTTCCTTCACAATAACATCCCTGTACGGCAAAACTGAGCTGAGAGAAAGCAACTGGCCCAGTGTTATCCTGGAAGCAATTGAGATGTACAATCTTTGTTAGATGGAGGATATGGGTTTTGCTGGATGTGCTGAGTGAACATATTTAAACACGACGAGAGAAAAATAGTCGTTGTAAAGAGAAAAAAAAGCCCTCACAATTAAGAAACATTTATTTCTTGTAGCCTAGCTTTTTATCTATCTATCCATCCGTCTGTCTATCGGATTTTATCACCTTCCCACTTCTGCTTTATCCATGCTTAAAGCTATCAAGCTTAATTTAAATCTAATTAAAATGAATTGTAATTTAATTTTCCCCAAATTAGCAGCAGCTGAGGAGGCTGCGCTCTTTTGATTATATGGAGTTTTGTATTTCCTTTTATTACAATCACAAGGCTTAGCACTGTGCGTGTGTGTTCATACCCCCAATTAAAATATTAGTTTCATTAGTAGGGGACAGTTTCAGGCCATATGAAGAAACCATCCACAACAAGAATTGTGCTGCATGTGATCCTCAAAATCATTACCATACATCTGATGATCGTTTAGCGGCATAGCTCAGTGGCAAAATAGTTGCTTTGTATGCAAAGGATCCAAGATTCAGCCCTTGGTATCTCAACTTTAAAAAAGCTCTGGGTAGACTGGAACCATAAAGGGATGTTTTTCACCAGACTAAATGCTATTGAAATCCTAGATAGGGTTAGGACAGTGTTTCCCAAACTTGACAATTTTAAGGCATGAGGACTTCAACTCCCAGAATTCTGGGAGTTGAAGTCCACATGCCTTAAAATTGTCAAGTTTGGGAAACACTGGGTTAGGATTTCAATGGTCTGATAGAGGATGTAGCAGTTTCATATGATCTAACCACAAGAGTTTTAGGAGAAGTGGGAGCTGTGTAGAACTAAGCCAGGGGTAGGCACCCTTGGCTCTTTTATGAGTCATGGACTTCAATTCCCAGAATTCCTGAGTCAGCATAGCTGACTCAGGAATTCTGGGAGTTGAAGTCCACGAGTCATAAAAGAGCCAAGGGTGCCTACCCCTGAACTAACCTATCCTATCCCCTGCTCCCTTCCCCTCTCCCACTCTCCACTCCATTCCATTCACCACAAGGACAGCAGGAGGCTATCATATTCATATTCATCTATTCTTCTCAATTTTGGGATGCTGCTAATACACAGTGCTAAGGAACCTGTGACACGCTATGGTCCAGTATTTGGGTCCATTTTAAGCAAAGGTAAGCAGCATTTACTATTCTATTTATTTTGTTTTAATCAATTCAAAAAAGAAATGCATTGGCCCTATCAGGATAAAAACCACTGTTTACTAAGTGGCAGAAAGTACTCTCTCTCGTCACATACAGTATTTCACCCCAATAACCATGATTGTGGTGCAAACATCAGTTGCCCACTAGATGGCAACAAAGGGTTTCCCTATATCTCCTTGCTCCCATCTAAAGGTTGTTTATGTTTTTGCGACCCATATTAGATAGCCCTACCCTATCATGATACATAAATGTCCCTCTTATATTTAGATTCATAAACCAGCAATGAATTATCAATGAAACTCACATTCGGTGAAGTCATTCTTTATTTATTTATTTATCACAATTGCCAAGGTTCACACAATATTTTAGGCCAAACTAGGGTATATAAACTACAATAGTTAGATTCCTGTAACGTTTTAAGTGAGAACCCAGCGACCACATGATTTAGCACCATGTATCACCCAGCTCCTACTGGGTATGCTGGCACAGCATTATGTGTAGTAAGCCAAATCATGTTGAAATAGTCTATGTAAAATATGGAAGATTTTAACTGACAACTGATCTTCTATTTAGGTATGATTTTAAAACGATATATGATATGATCTGGATATGATTTAATAGAAGATTTAAAAGTGGGGTTGAACTGTCTAGAACAGGGCTTTTCAACCTTTTCACCCATTGTACCACTTTTAGGATACAGCAATATCCGAGTACCACCAGTTGCCTAGCAAGGTATCAAAAACTTGATGACCAAAAAAAAAAAAAAAAGGAAAAAAGTGATGAAGTACAGGTAGTCCTTGACTTACAACAGTTCGCTTAGTGACTATTCGAAGTTACAATGGCACTGAAAAAAGTGCCCCCCAAGCCACAGCCGAGCAAGACACCTGCCTGCCCACCTGGCTGCGCACTTCCTCCTGTCCGAGGTTTTCATTGCTGTGAGCATTTCTGTTGAGAATTGGGGTGGGGTGGGGTGTGTGTGGTTTTTATTCCCCCCGTCTGATGGGTGGTTGCAGCAGGTTTTGGTCACTTTACATGACCCTGGGACACTGTGACCATCATAAATACAGTATGAATCAGTTGCCACGCATCTGAATGTAAATCACAAGACTCTGGAGATAAGGCAACATTCCAGCTGATAGGTGCTTCTTCAGGGCTCAGCAGAAGCGCCAGGATCAGCACCGAGTTCCAGCTGGAGCCTGTCGCTGATCCTGGCGCTTCCACTGAGCCCTGACAGTCCTGAAGAAGTGCCAATCAGCTGGAAAGCAGCACTGATCCTGGCACTTCCGCTGAGCCCTGACAGCCCAGCAGCTCCAGCCATCTCTCGCTCAGGCTTGTGCGGTGCTGCCACTGGTTCAGCTCATTCCCCTCCCCCGCTACCACTTTTCTAGGATGGTCGTGTACCACCTGCCAGGTGCCAATGTACCACAAGTGGTACCCGTACCACTGGTTGAAAAGCCCTGGTCTAGAACACTTGTAAGAGTTTTTTAAGTTAAAAAAAGCAGGATAAAATATGAAATTTAAGTATGGTATTTCACAGAGGAAAAGCCCACAGAGTTCACAAGTGTGCACAATTTATTAAGTCATTTTAGTAGCATCTTCAGAGAACCGTCTCAAGAAAGGTGGGAACCAATTTACTATCAAAGGTGAGACCAATTTCTCGCATGTAATTTCAACGCTGCACCACTCTGCTCAATGCCTCTCCAAAGAATCCAAATGTCCACAGAGGAAAGACTTACTGCTTGCTAAAGTAACAGTTCAGTAGGCCACCCAAGATCTGACAGTCCAAAATCAGACACTGATTTCTGGAGGCTTAATTTATTTGAAAGAGGATTCAGCTGAAGAAATGGAGTAGTAATTTTCTCAGCCACACTGATCCTTTTCCCCCTGGATCCCCCAAGGGTATGTGTCAGGAAGAAAATGCCTTTCTGAACCCTGGAATATATTGGCAAATGAAGCAACAAAGTCCTTGGTCCCTATAACAAACAGATTTCAAAGAAATGGAGATGAAAGTGGAAAGAGAAATCAAGCATTCAAGGGAGAGGTATGTCCTACTGAGAATCATCAAGCCATGAAGCTGTATAGATATTTTCACTGTTGGCATTCATGCAACTGTGCAATCAGATACTCTAATATATCTGATAGACCAACTTTATCAGGAAATGCGGGGAAGGTCATTGAAAGCGTTGCCTTGACAATAGAGAGAGCATTAAAGTATTAAAATAACTACACACTGTGGTGTCTTTGCTTTTGAAGAAGGCATCTAATTCAGCCAAGGGATGTGACAGAAAAGATTACAAAATAGAGATCAGTCATGTAAAAAAAAAAAAAGTACATAAATATATCACAAGGTAATCTGAGGTTAGTAAAGGGATCTGAATTTTATTTAAATCTTAAAGCATTTTGTTCTGCGCAGAATTATTTTTAGGGATATGTGCCTAGTAGTTATTTAGGTCAAATCGGCACACCTCTTCATAATTGTAATGCAGCATATGGGCAGATTAATGTTATCCAAATATGCCTTTTAGATGTAGTTACAAGTTCCTCCAGCCTGTACTCAACTTTAAAAGCTGATCTACAATAAATATATGCAACTGTTACCCTTCTGTGCCAGCAAGAGCCATGGTGACACAGTGATCAGAATGCAATATTGCAAGCTAATTCTGCTGACTGTCAGCAGTTCAATTCTCACCAGCTCAAGGTTGACTCAGCCTTCCATCCTTCCAAGGTGGATAAAATGAGGACCCAGATTGTTGGGGGCAATATGCTGGCTCTGTAAACCGCTTAGAGAGGACTGTAAAGCACCGTGCAGCGGTATATAAGTCTAAATCAGTGGTTCTCCACCTGTGGAAAAAATAGCTCCAAAACTCCACACTTGACTAAATAGAAATTTTGCATGAATTATATTCTACCACTTGATTCCTCCTAACTTAACTTGGTAGAATTAGCATGCAGCAAAATGAAAAAGATGATGCATTCATTTATTTGGTTAGTCAATTTATATGATGATGAATTTTACTAAATACTATTTAACTACTCAACTTGTCCAGTGAAAAGGATAATCCTATATTCAAAGTTACAAAATCTTACCCATTCCAATAAGCAGACCAGATTCAGCTTATTAAAAACACATGCATACACAAACTGGATTATATTGCAACCTTTAAAAACACATAATTTGTTTATTTCAATAATATTTTACTAATGTCTTGGCCCCATTATAAATAGTAGTACTCTTCACTGATTTGGAGATTTAGGCAAATGCTAACCATATAAGTGGGCCCTAGTATTAACAATCCAAAAGTCATTTTGAAGTCCATAGCACCTGGAATTAAGCAGCAGGACACAATCTTATATTCTTTTACAAGAACCTGAATTGCTTTCAGCAAGTCAGACAGGTTAAAATATTTAGATCACATTACTTTGCTGAGCAAATCTCATTATATATTGAAAACTCATTGCCACTCTAGAAATAGCATTTCTTTCATATTTCAGCTTTTCTAAATAAGTCAAGAATTGAGTTTGATAGAATATAAAAGGGTACTTCAAATTTTTGTTGGAAATATGGGCAACACAAGGGGTCATTTTATCGTGTCTGGTGGACATGTAAAAAAGCAGAAAATTTTGGGTTCAAATCTGTACATTGATACAAGGAATTTTAAAGTTAAGATTCAACTGAAACCAGAACTTTTCTTGTTGTGATTAATGGGCAGACCACTAGGAAAGAGTCTATTTTTATGCACGATCACTGCTGTGAGACTACAGGTAGTCCTCGACTTACAACAGTTCATTTAGTGACTATTCAAAGTTACAACAGCATTGAAAAAGTGTCTTATGATCATTTTTCAGAGTTACGATCATTTTTTGCGACTTTCTGACAAGCAAACTCAATGGGAAGCCAGATTCACTTAATAATCGTGTTACTAACTTATCAACTGCAGTGATTCACTTAACAACTGAGGCAAGAAAGGTTGTAAAATGCGCCCAAACTCACCTAACAAATGTCTCACATAACAATAGAAATTTTGGGCTCAATTGTGGTTGTAGGTTGAGGACCACCTGTATTATACGCACAAAAATGGGAAGACTTTGATATATCCACAATGGAAGAATGTTGGTGAAGATGATGGAACCAGCAGAGATAGCAAAATTAATTTGTTTGCTTAAAGGAAGATAACCGTTACGTTTATTAGTGACTGGAAAACCTTTATGGACTTTTTGCTGGAAAAAAAAGAAAAAAATGAATTTGTGATATATGGGTTTGATGATTAGAAAGGGCAGTTTACAGAAGAAAAAACTGATGTCACCCTACACAGAGAGGGTACATGTAAATACATGTATTTGTATCTGCTGTCAAAAAGATTGTAAACATTTTTATAAAGTAGGATAAGGCGATCAACAACTTACAGGATCAGGCTGTATATATCCAAATATTAGATCCTAAGGAACATACCCTCATGTTCCATATAATCTTCCTAAATGAACCCAATTGTTCACAAGGAGACTGATGGCTGATTCAGGTAGGCCTCTGGTCTGATTCAACATTGTTCTTTTAATAGCTGTAAAAGTGACAGGAAGGACTTTAACCATGTTCCTACTGGCCTTCCTCAATTTAATTATATAGACTGACTCAGTCAATTTATTTATTTTTTTTCTCTTGTAGGAGCTAAAATAGAAGTCCTGTGTTTAAAAGGCTATATAAAAGTTTTCAAGGCCCAAAAATTATGTTGGAGGACTGAGAATGCAAAACTCACATCAGACTCAAACTTTCCCATGTTGGCGCTCTATGTAAATTTTGGACTAACTTTCCTCCATACTGGCTGAAAATATTGTGCACTGTAATGCAACAGGAGGGCTCTATTTTAGATAAACAGAAGACAAAATCAATCATCTATTTGTCTAGTGTTAAGCCTAAAGGCATTGTGTATACAGAATACTTCTCCAAAAATGTAAGTTTTTAATGTTTTCAGTATTTTTTCCTGCTCAAATTGGTATGTATGTATGTATGTATGTATGACTTTTATGTATGTATGTATGAGTTTTAGTTCAACAGACCTGTGAAAAAGGTCTTATGACCAATTTCAAAGTTTTGGAATTGCCCCTCCCCCAAGTTACATGACTATATTTTGGGTGCTTGGCAAGTGGCCTGCATTTATGGCCATTTGCAGAGCCATGTGTTGTTTTACAAAGTTTGGCCAGAAATCAGCGTTAACTTCTGGTTTCCTGCAAAAAAAATTAATGCTCACAGCATTCTCTTATTGATTGTGGCAGCTGCTTACAACCACAGCAGTCGCTTAATAACCGAAGCAGATTATGTGATCTGCTTTATGATGGTCACGACTTATGATTGCCAGGTTCAATTACAATTGTAAGTCAAGGACTACCTGCACGTAAATTATAGCTGCATTATAACTTATAGCTGCACTATGATTGATTCAGTTTTAATGTCTTGATATCCAAACAATGTAGAAAATTTACCGGCCAAAAAAAATCTTATTTACCAATTGCCCAAATGCCTTCCAACTATCCCCCACCCACCAATGAAAATAAGAAAACACAAACAGTGTAAGAAATTAATCCAAGTCCTAATTTCATCAGACAGTATCGGATGCAACCTTTTTAACTTCACATAGAACCTAGCTGAATATTCTGCCATTTCAAATGTAAAGATCAGCTGCAATGTTAAACTGGTATTTAGAGCAAAAAAAGCATTTTTTTTATGAGAGAAAAAAAGCAACGTCACAGACTTGCAAATAGTTTTGGTTAAAAAAAGGCCATCTTATACAAGATGTAAGTTACAAGGATAAAAATAAGTTTAGAGAAGATTGTTAAAAAATCATGTCCTGTAGTAATATTACTTCACCACCACACTCTATATCTAGCAGCTTAGCCACTTCCGGGAGAAGACAGCCCCTCCCAAGTCTGTGTCACTGAGCTTTCCTTCCCACCTGCCACTTCAGCTCTTCCACATAGCTCCATTTATTGTGTTACACCTAACTTCATAACCGCGTGTGTTTTCATGGCAGTCATATTCCATTCTTCACACTTCACCAAGTCACCTACCCTTCTTGACAAAACTGTTGGAGAAATCACAGGCAAGGCTGCTCTTCTTCCATGCGCGTTCATCTCAGTTGTTGACAGCTAAACAAAAGTCCCTTGTCCAAATTACTGGCAAAAGAAAGATGAATGCCTGAAGAATCAGTTCTCAGACAACCTCACCTCACGAAGGGCCATCGGAAAGCGGTAACTTGGACGGCAATCGAAGGCATGCAGTTTATTTGAATATACTCCTTCAGAAAGCCGATTAAGGACTGTCCAGACAGAACTGACCAATGGCAGGCTAATCAGAAGATGCAGGGCAGACAAGGGAAGGCTCATCTCTACTCTGGAAAACACATTATGACTCTTCGGTTTATTATGGTTAAAAAAACAAGGGAGATAATTCAGTCAAAGCTCCTTTCTCTCAGCTGTGCCTTCATCTACCAAGCAAGAAACTGCATCTGGCTTTTCTTTTCCTCCTCTCCCGCAAAGACAGATCCCCTTTCCCTTGTTGGAAAGGAAAAACAGGCATCTTAAATCTTTCGGTTATAGCAAGCAGTTAACTTTTAAACAAGATGTAAAACTCAACCTTAGTCAAGTCAGGAAATATTCAAAATCAAGACTACGATACACGGCAAAAATTAATGTTGGATTGGTCCAGGGAAGCCAATGCCACCTTCAAATTAAATGTCACTTTACTTTCTGACTTGCGATACATGAAGTAGCTGCAAGAAGACTCCGCCTTGTTCTGAGTTAGGGTCAACTGAGGATAACGTCTTGCCATGTGAAATAGCAGAAGGCTAAACTGAACCAGCTGCATCAGCAAAAGCCCAGGACTGCTTTTATTTTCTTGTTTTTAAACAAGAAAATAGCTACTGCACGGTTCGTATAAATATATAAGCATGAGGCATGTTTGCATGCGTATACCCCTACACAAACACATACACTTATATATGTTTGTGTGTTTACTCATATATCTCTTCCCTTAATTTCTTAAAGTTCCTTCAGCATGTAGATCCCAATAATTCATGGCAGAACTATCTTATTTTCTTCAAATAGCTGGTCAGCAGCCAGTGGAATGCAGTTCAGTGACCACGAACAATAGACAAAGGAGAACAATGTGAATCTGGGTTATTTTAGTTAGCAAAATTAAAGAATTAAATCCTAATCAGTTATGGAAAAAATGGCAACTGCCTAATAGCTTACTTCTTAATACAGGAGCCTTAACATGCTAGAGCATGTCTGGCTATTGCTGTTGCAGCTTATCCCTTCTTTGTGGCAAACCTTCAGAAAATCAAGGTCCTCAGATTTTAAAGAGGACCAGAGAAAAGCACTAAAGCACAGGCCTACAATTTTCATGCAGCAAAGACATATCCAAGAAGAGATTATTTCCCATATGAAACTTTAACAAACTCAGCAAACAAAAGGTTACACAAATGCTTCCAAACAGAGAGAGGAAATTCAACTTTTCCTCAACCTTTTGCACTCTTGCCCAATATGTGCACATAGCCTCTGGTCCCTATAGCTCAGGGACCAGAACAAAAAGTACATTTCATTTCACTTCCATTTAATTAATATAGTTAATATAACCTCATAATGTATTTAATAATTGTTCCTTACAAATTGCTATACAGTCATAACTGGGGGGAGGAGCACTAGTAGTCCTGGAGTTTTAGTTGTGCATTTCTGGTCTAGCTAATTGCTTTATCTTTAAGGAACATCCCTGAAGCTCTAGAACATTAGTTTAATAATATTCAGTAATGAACATCCCAGCTCCTTAAACTGAAACTAGAACTTTGACAACTTCGATCTTTTGATTCAGTGACATCACAGCAGCTCAGCCAATCAGGTAGCATGCAAATTTTTATCTCACAGTTCATTACGCAGGTGGTCGGTCGGTCGGTCTGTCTGTCTGTCTGTCTGTCTGTCTGTCTATCTATCTATCTATCTATCTATCTATCTATCTATCTATCTATCTATCTATCTATCTATCTATTGTATGCAGCCTGCATATAAAAAAGTAAAAGTGATTTGCTAATAAAAATACATAAAAATAAAGGAAAGCAACCTGGAGTGATTATGACTTCCTCTCTCATAAGCTTCCCTGTTCCTTTCACTTTGAACTAAAGATCTGTATTTCTTAAAATAAATTTGCTCCCTTCACTGAACAAACAAACCACATGCCACAGCTCTGGATATGTGACAGAGCATCTGCAATGCTGTTGATCATGGTTATTATGGTGCAATTATTTCTTTAAGGTCATTTTTTTTTCATACTCTTTCAATCTCTATCATTTCCAATCACAAAAGATGTAAAACTCCCAACAAGGTGAATAGAAGTTGTTACAAGATCTAGCCAAGGTCAAACCCTTGTTCCTTGCCCAGTTACTTTTTAAATTGAAGACTTCTCAGTAAGCAATAAAGCCTAGAGCCAGACACAACCATATCTGCTGCCAAATTTCTAACCTTGGCTTTTACTCCTACTTTCAGGAAATCCATAGTAACAATGCAATCACCTCACCATAAAATACATAGCCGTTTCTCTATTGCCTTTAGTTATCTGCAAGCTCCACACAACACCATCTCTTCTCTTCAGCATATACAGGTAGTCTTCAACTTATGACTGTAATAGAGTCAGCCCATAATGAAGTCTGTGGGGATCCCATGGGGTGGGATGGGGGGGGGGGAGTTAGCTGGTCAGTCATAAAAGTGGTTGGACTGTAAAGTGTCCAATTGTTGCTCACATGATCATGGGGGCACTATAGTGACCTTAACTTCAAAACCATCATTTTTAAAAGAGGTTGTAAGTAGCTTTTCAGGAGTCTATCATAACTTCGTAACTTCAAACAGTTGCTAAATTCTTCTCCTACAATTAGGAATTCAGACTTATTTGTGTTTCCAACTATATTTACTGAGAACACCCCACGTTTTCCAAGTGGTTCAAGCAAGCCTTTTTCTTATACTCCATATCAAGCTGTGCTGTTAAAAAGAAAAAAAAAACTAAAAAGGTTCAGGTCAGGAGGTCCCTTCTGAGCAGACACAAGAGTCCTGCAGAGTCTAATAGAAATCAAGTAACTGGACAATGTAGACTTTGGGGATGAATGTAGGAGCCCCATTTTTAATTTTCCGTAATGTCCTTGAGGTAACCCTGCACTAGGACTCATCGCAGAGGTAGCATTTTCAAATCTCCTAATGCTCTAGGGTAATGCTATACCAAGGGCATGGGGGCAAATTAACTTATTAATGTTCATCACATTAGTCCAACTTCCTGCTAACATGCTCCATCATTCCCGGGAAAACTCCCATGCCCCCCAACTACAATGTGTAGGGGGAGGGAAGTAATAATAATAATAACAACAACAACACCAATAAAGTTGGAAGGGACCTTGGAGGTCATCTAGTCCAACCCCCTGCTCAGGCAGGAAACCTTATACCATTTCAGACAAATGGCTGTCCAGTCTCTTCTTAAAAACTTTTACTGTTGGAGCGTTCACCACTTCTGGAGGCAGGTTGTTCCACTGGTTAATTGTTCTAACTGTCAGGAAGTTTCTCCTTAGTTCTAGGTTGCTTCTCTCTTTAGTTAGTTTCCATCCGTTGCTTCTTGTCCTGCCTTCAGGCACTTTGGAAAATAACTTGATTCCCTCTTCTTTGCGGCAGCCGCTGAGATATTGGAACATTGCTATCATGTCCCCCCCCCCTCGTCTTCTCTTCATTAAACTAATAAAGTAAAGAGTATGTTGTGGGTGTCTTTAAGTGTGGCCCTTCAAAGTAGACCAGGTCAGGAAACAAGTATTTCATGAACTGCTGGAACTCTTCTTCATTGTCGTAGGTTATAATTACAGAATCTTGAAAGTCTGACAGAGATTTTCTCTCTCCCGAGACATTTTTTTATTTTCCCCCCCTCACCCCTTATTGTCTGTCTGAGCTAAAGCGATCTTTACATAACAGCAGTTGCATTCCTTCTTCAAGGCATCTCTGTACTCCTCTATCCCAAAATATTTTCCTTAAATAATCCTCTCTTCACTTCCTTAAAGGAAATCCCCTCAAGTTCCTATTTTCTGTAAAAAGTAAATGTCACTTAGGTGAATGGACTGTGTAGAAGACAGATAGATTAGAATTTAAAGTAAAATTTGCAGCAAAAAAAATCCCTATTACTCTCATTGGACTTGCAACCTCATAAAGGATTACGTTGATTCCAGAGGAAGGAGAGTTATGAAGGACCCTTAAAGAGTTTTTGCTTCTATGGGTGATATTTCTCGATTTTGCCATATTAAAAATTAAAACTGATGCACCTGCAGCTGCTAGCACCCTTCACAATTGTTTGATGAGATCTTAATATTGTATTATTTCTCAACATAGGCTGGCAAATAATTTTGATTTCACAAACTCTTGAGATGGTCTCAAGAGGCCCCCTGGGGTCTCAGAACCACACTTTTAAGAAACATTAGTCTAATATAATGCTCACTCTCCAATTTAAGTAGTGAAATAAGAAGCAATGTAATGAGTAAAGGGATTGCTGCTTTATTCAGTCCTCCAGTTCATACTATTATCAGACTATGCATAAAAAATAATTTTAAAAATGAAAAAGTTATTTTTTCCTATGCTGATATTTTAAAAAAATGCACTTATTTTATGCACTGAATTTCTTGGGTGAAGGAAGGAAAGAAAATTAGTTTTTGTTGTTTTTTAAAATAGTTAGGGATTACAACTCAGAGAAATTTGCATGTGCTTAAACATACATAACATCCTAATTCTAATACAGTGGTAACAGAAACATATACCATGTATGCCCAACAACATTCTTATTTAGTCTCTGTAGGACATATGAATGGCAAGGCTGTTTTTCAAACATGGGTCATAAATTGGCAGATTTGAAAATGAACGACAATCTCTCAGAAAGAGAACAAAATGGAACATGCTATAAAAAGGCACAACTGATTGATGAGCCATGAAGAGTAGCTTTTCCTGAGCTTGCAGGATGCAACTTGTCCTGGTTATTATTTTTGCTTCATTCATCAGTTGTTACTGGGATAGCATGGAACAGACATGCCCTAAACTGAATCAATTCAATCCAGAGTATATTATAGGCACCTGAATTGTCTTTGTAGCATGACTTTCAGCTCCTATTGTAGGTGGATTAGTCTGGCAGGCTTGCTGATTTGGAAGTCAACTGTAGTGACCTCACTCCTGGAGTGATCCCACTAGCGTTCCCTTCTTTCTTGAAATAATGGCCCTATTTTAATTCTGGAAGCTCTGGAATGATATACTCATGGTAATCTAAAAGCAAAAAACAGCTACTGACAAGGTGGCTTGGTAGAATCTTTCCATTAAAAAGATAACACATAAATATGTAAAGAATGACTATATATACTCAGCCATCACAAATATAGAAGCAGGAATATAAATTATTTACTACCTTTAGTTAAATGAAAACAAGAGTCTGTAGGAGCCTTTCAAGTGAAAAAAAAAACCTGTACAAGAACATTCCCCCTTTCAGGCATTCTCTTTGTAACTGCAATGTGGTGAAGAAGAAGAAGAAAAACATACATATATCATAGATATTATGTCTTTACCACCTCTGCCTCACACATTTTTGGAGGAGTATATGAAAAAAAATGCTGCCTGACATGCATAGCTATTTCCCATCATATAAAATCCTAAGTACACATACAGGTTATTAAATCACAGGAAATTCCACAACTGTACAGTACTCATGCAAAGAAGACTCCTGCGAGTCCCTTGGACTGCAAGGCGTTCAAACCAGTCAGTCCTAGAAGAGATCAACCCCCACTGCTCTTTAGAAGGCCAGATCCTGAAATTGAAACTCACTTTGGACACCTAATGAGAAGGAAGGACTCGCTGGAGAAGGGCCTAATGCTGGGAAAGATTGAGGGCAATAGAAGAAGGGGAGGACAGAA